TGTGGTGTCCTGGGAAAGTGGAGGTGATTACCAGGTTGCTGTACCAATCAAGGACTCCTGGTGTGGTGCTGTGGGTTAATGCACTACACAGCAAAGTAGGTATGAACTGAAAGGTCAGAGGTTCAAGCTCACCAGCCACTCTTTGGAAACCCTATCCAGCATCGCTATGGATTACAACCAACTCGATGGTACTTAACAGCAACAAAAAAAGTACCAATTAAACACTATTAGCAAAAGTTCAAAATGACCATGCTGATAATTCATATGTTCCATTTGTTCAGCTCTTCTTTTAGTTGATATTCAATCTACTTCTGTATTCTTTCCTCTGAACCTTACCGTTCCAAGATTATCATCCATAGCTGTTTCATTAGGTCTCTCCTGTCTTTGTTGTAGAGGGTCTGGATAGCATGTCTGCCTAGTCTGCCATATTGTTAGAAGGACACCTGTCATTTCTTGTCTTTATATATAAGTGAGGTCAGGACCACAGTCTTTTGGGAGTACCAGAGTCAACTGGCATAGCATGGTCCACAAAGGCAATGTTCTACTTTCTATTTTGGTAAATAGCATCTGGGGTAGCATTTGAGTTCATGAGGAGTCATCTAAGGTGCAACTATTGGTTTCTCCTTGTCCAGAGGAAAGGAGAGTGAAGAAAATTGAAGATACATGGGAAATGGACTAATGGACCACATGAACATCTGTCTCCACAACCCTGCGATTAGGAGAACTAGGTGTCTTGTTACCACTACTGACTGCTCTGAAAGGGATATTAGAAAGTTCTGGATAGTGTGGGAGGAAAATGTGGAATAAAACTCATTAAAAACAAACAAAACAACAGCCTTACTGGTCAGAGAGAGCTGGGTGGAACCCCTGAGATTATGGCTCTTAGTCCCAGTCACTGTTTGGGTCAGGAAATGAACACACATCCATGGCTCAATTTTCAGCCAAATAAAAGCTAGGTCTATGGTGGCTCTGTAGGGTAAGCATTGGACCACATGGTTGGTTTGAACTGCAAGGTTGGTGGCGTGAATTCACCAACC